GGGATCGCACAGTCCTGTTTCCATACTGCCGGTATAAATACAGGCTCTCCGTGAGCGGCAGTCACCGCTGATTGACACCAACCGTCGTCATGCCCGAGCAAACCGCCAAAAGTGCGCCGAAGAAAGGCTCCAAGAAAGCCGTCAGCAAGACGGTGAGTAAGAGCGGCAAAAAGAGGAGAAAGACCCGCAAGGAGAGCTACGCCATCTACGTGTACAAGGTCCTGAAGCAGGTCCACCCCGACACCGGCATCTCCTCCAAGGCCATGAGCATCATGAACTCCTTCGTCAGCGACATCTTTGAGCGGATCGCTGGAGAAGCTTCCCGCCTGGCTCAGTACAACAAACGCTCCACCATCACTTCCAGGGAGATCCAGACGGCTGTCCGTCTGCTGCTGCCCGGGGAGTTGGCCAAGCACGCCGTGTCCGAGGGAACCAAGGCCGTCACCAAGTACACCAGCTCCAAGTAGACTGTCCTGCTCCTCACCCCCCCCCACCACCACCAACGGTCCTTTTAAGGACCACTCCACTACTTCCAAAAGAACTACAGTACTCTATAGTACTACAGTGAGTTAGTATAACCTTAAGATAAAAACAAATCTTAGTCACAGTCTTCATAGAACATTAATGTGTTGAGAGTTATTATGTAGATTATTATAATATAGATTAGATTTATTACTTTACAGTAACTACAGTACTTCTGTATCTGAGTTAAAGGTTTTTATAGATAATTAGATATAATATAGATTGTTGGACATTAATATGTAAATGTAACTTTTTTTAAAATATTTTTTATTTCATTTTATGTTTTTTACAACCTTTGTATACCATAAAGAGTATAAAAAAATTCATGTTAAAAAACAACAGCCTGTCAGTGACTGCTCTGCCTGCTATCCCCGGTCTGTCCACTGTGTGGCACCAAACGAAGAAGGAATCCCCGTCATCTGACTGAGTGAATACACCTGGTCAGCAGGTGGCAGAGGTAATAAATGCTACAGGGTCCAAGGACCACAGTACTGTTCTGGTCCGGTCCACACTGAGCAGACTGGAGCAGGGAGGTTGATGACGTCACAGCATCTACACCGTGGTACTGTTTCTACAGCTGAAGAGAACTCTCCGTGACCATCAGAACCTGCTGAGAGAACAGGACGACGGGGAGCTAAGTGGTGGTGAGTAGACAGTGCCCCCTGCTGGTCCAAGAACCTTATGTTGAGGAACATGTTTTAAACATGGTGGTCATTTTATGTCGGTGGTCAACGAGGTGTAAACTTTAGACTGAGGGTTGGTGGCTCTGAAAAGAGCCGTTGTGTTGTTGAGGTTGAGGGTTCGAGTCCAGGTCTACTTGGCCTTGGCAGCCTTCTCGGTCTTCTTGGGCAGCAGGACAGCCTGGATGTTGGGCAGTACTCCGCCCTGGGCGATGGTGACGCCACCGAGCAGCTTGTTGAGCTCCTCGTCGTTACGGACGGCCAGCTGCAGGTGACGAGGGATGATCCTGGTCTTCTTGTTGTCGCGGGCGGCGTTTCCGGCCAACTCCAGGATCTCAGCGGTCAGATACTCGAGCACGGCAGCCAGGTAGACCGGAGCTCCGGCACCGACACGCTGGGCGTAGTTGCCCTTCCTGAGCAGCCTGTGCACACGGCCCACAGGGAACTGAAGACCTGCCCTGGAGGAGCGGGTCTTGGCCTTAGCGCGGGCTTTTCCGGCTCCTTTTCCTCGTCCAGACATGTTTCTTTAGGATCGTTGTTTAAAACTGAAGGAGAAGTCGACTGTGATGTCAACGGTGGAGCCTCTGTAAATATAAAGACACACCGCTGGGTTTTCATTGGTCAGTTGAGCTGAAGTATTTCTATCCAATCAGAAACGACAGCGCTCTTTCCAATGGCCATTGGTTTCTGTTTGTCACGTGATTCTTATGAACGCCCCTCTTTTAAATAATGGCGGGCGTTTTGAAAAATGAATCCCCGCCGAAATCTGGCGCTCGTTTTATATTTAAAATGGCTGTGGAAGTTTTTATGAAAATTGTTTATTTATAAAAGTGCGTTTTAATGTACACGATCATAACCACGTCCTATTGGCTGCTGCTTGTCACATGTCTTTATGTCACGCCTTTTACTTTAACTATTTGTTTTGGAGACTTTTGGAAAAGACAAATTAGTTCTTCGTTCAGTCACTTTTAACTATGACGTAACGCTAACTTCCAGAATGTTCTTTTTTATTGTAAATATGACGCAACCAGTTATTTTTTCATAAAAACAAGGACATTTAATAACGTATTTATAATGTACATGTGAAGTTCAGTAATATTTGCATGACGTCAGAGCTCTGAACAAAACAAAAAGGAAAAACTGTTGTGGTCACGTAACAGTTTCGTTAGTGTTGAACTGAGGAGGAAATGTCTCAGGCTGAAGGTTCGAGGCAAATCACGTAAAAAGATGCAGAAATAATAAGAATAAAAAGAAAAAGAATAATAATAGTTATAATAATAATAGTATTAATAATGATAGTTATAATAATAATAGTAATAATAATAACCTTGAAGTCAGCGCAGTTGCAGTGGACCTCCACTAGAGGCTGCTGTGGTCATACTGTCCAGTATTAATCACTCACGTGTATTCAGTCTGTGGTCAGTAAAAGAACAACAGTTCTTGGTGTAAATAAAGTACAAAAATGTCAGGAAACAAACAAAACCATTTAACAACAGGTTCTTTTGGACCAGGATGTTGATGATTGATGTGAAGATCTGATTGGACGACTGCTCCTCACCCTAACTCTGTCTCTGTCTGGTCCAGAGTTTTGTCCACAAAAAACCACACGTGTTTGTTTGGGACAATGATCCACAGTTGGTTCATTTCAGTTGGACTGGGATGTGACCCACATCGTGATGTGGGCTGTGATAAAAGACTGTTGAGTTAGATTATTGTTGTGTGGCCCAGATCTGGTGTTGACGAGTTCTGTCATGACTCCACCCGTTCGTCATCTCCGTGGACTACGTCCCCCCCCTCAGTGGGCGGCGACACTTGGCCCGGTCTACAGCCGTCAGCTGAGCCAGGCAGGAAGTTGAGCTGAGAGGAGCAGGGAGGGGCGGGCCATTTTGGCAGCTGCAGCCCAGAGCCCAGGAGATGGCGTCGTGGAGCGGGGCTGACCGACGCCAGCGTCTGTTGACTGTCGTTCAGTAAGGACCCCTGCTGGCAGCGGTTGTTATAGTACACTTGCCAACCGGGAGGTTTCCTCTTCCAACGGCAGCGCAGAATCCTGATGAAGGCCTGAGCAGACAGGAAGTCACACAGAGAGTTCCAGTAACTGTCCACACTTGGATTCCAACTCATCTACGTGCATGTTCCTGGTACTGTTTCTGGTTCCTGGTACTAGTTGTTGCAGTAGAAACACGTATTCCCACTAATGTGTCAGTTACCATGGAGACAGGAACACAGTTTATGAACTAATGTCTGGTTCCTGTGAGTGCTTTCGGAGCCAAAAAATATATACATAGTTCCTGGAACTTTTATCTTGATAGAAAGCGTCTGCACATTTATTTACTGGTTGTCAATCGGTACCTGTTTGAACTCGCGACTGTAGCAGGGGTAGATGATGGGGTTCAGGCAGCTGTTGAAGTACCCTAACCAGAAGATCACCTTGAAGCAGGTTTCTGGAGGTCGAAGGTCGCTGTTGAAGGAACCTGAAAACAAAAACAAAGTCTGAGTACCCAGTGGAGCAAACATTACACCAACGTTGGAATTTTGATTTGTTGAACGATAACAAGCCTCCAGTCACTAGGGGGCAGCAACTCGTACTGATTTTCTTGTATATTTTTGTCTAATCTTGGTGTCTCAGGTGTCAGGTTCAACCACCTACCCATGGGCAGGACCAGGAAGAAGGGCAGCCAGCAGAGGATGAACATCCCCACCACCACGCCCAGCGTCTTGGCGGCCTTCTTTTCTCTGGAGAACTTGAACAGTTTGACGGCCAGCGTGCTGCGTCCTGGACAGACCTGCTGGTTCCTGCAGTGTATGCGCAGTGTCAACTCGTTGGCGTCCTCTAGTGGCTGCTTCATCACGCCGGCCTTCAAGTTCCTGGTGGTGCGTTTGGCCACGATGTAGACGCGGCAGTACATGACCAGGATGACAGCCAGAGGGATGTAGAAGGAGCCCAGGGAGGAGAAGAGGGTGTAGAAGGGCTCCTCTGTGATCTGACAGGTGGTGTTGTCCTGCAGGGGGAGCCATTCAGTCAACACAAGGTCAAACCCATACTTTCTATCAGAATTTCACTGTAACATTCTCACTGAGGTTTTGTCAGTGATGTCAGTTTGATCAATTTGATAAACCTTCACTGACCTTTGACCTTTTTAGATTTTTAAAAAGTGTTTTTTAACATTTAATGACGTTTTAGTTTTGAAATCTTTTCGTCTCATTGTCAACCTCCACCGCGTCAACTTTAGGCTGTATTTGTAAACGTCTGGTTGTTTTCAGACATTTTTTGTTTGAATGAAGACGCTGCTGTTGTTGTGACTCTATCAAAGGTCGAAGGTCGTGGTTCCCAGCAGATCAGGGCGCAGACAGACGGAGACGTCTCTATCTGCAAATCTCTGAAAAAGTTTAACAAGAGGCGTAACTAATCTGATAAACACGTGAACAACCACTGGACAACAGCTGACCAGACTGACCACAGGAGGCAGTAGTGGAACAGCACCTAAAATGGTGAATGGAAGCTGGTCATTGTGTCTCAGACAGCAGGGGGCGCTCCTTCACTCTCCCTGAGGTCATACCTGTGACGGTGGCTGTTTCCAGCCCAGCAGCGGCCCAATGGAGATAGTGATGGACAGGATCCAGACGCACAGCATTGCGAGCAGCGCCCTCTTCTGTGTGACGATCGTGGGGTACTGCAGCGGATATCTGACACCGACGTAGCGGTCGATGGAGATGACGCACAGAGACATGATGGACGCAGTGCAGCACAGGACGTCCACTGCTGCCCAGATGTCACAGAAGACCTGACCAAACACCCAGTAATCCAAAACCTGTAGGGGGCGCAACAAAAACCGTTTTAAAAAGCACCCGTCAGTTTATGTAGAAATGATGCGTTTACTGCCCCGGCCTCTAGGGGAACCAACAGTTCAAAAAGTGAAGCGCTAACAAACAGCTGCTGCTAACAGTGGACGACTGACCTCCTGGGTGGCGGACACGGGCAGTACGGTGGTTCCCAGCAGCAGGTCGGCCATGGCCAGGTTGATGATGAAGTAGTTGGTCGGGGTCCGCAGGTGTGGGTTGCAGACCACAGCCAGGATCACCAGCATGTTGCCCACAATGGCAAACAAGATGAAGGAGGCCAGCACGATGCCCACCGCCAACGCCCGCCGCGGGTCTATCGAGGAGGCCGCAGCGGGGGAGGGTGCGAGACCTCGGG